ACTCTTTTAAACCCTCTCTTAAATTCTTTATAGTTTTTAAATACAGAAATGGGGATTTACAGTATATCACTGTTCATTCATATATTTTTATACTTAATTATGCATCAATTGAAATCTATCAGAGAAACGTAAAATAATATTTATTTATAAAAATATGTTTTGTTTAAATTGCAATATTAATTACTAATTGTTATTGACCTAGAATTACTAAATAAGAAACTTCAAAGAGAATTTATTAATTATTAAGGAATGGGCGTGTTTACTAATTATTTAATTTTATATAAAAAAGTATTAACAAAATAAATAAACAAATATAACGTCAAATTAATGTCAAATATTGGAACACTTATCAAAACATGATTTTCTTCCATGTCTTACATACTAATTGGGAAGATTTTTTTTTATACAATAATTATATTAATCTAAGTACTTACATAAATAAAAATTAAAAACAAAACGTCAATTGGATTTTTTGTTATCAATTTTTTTACTCAATATATAATATATATTCATAATTAAAGAGAAATTTTGGTGCTTTATGACTTTGTGATGCCGAAATAATGCGATAATGATTATTTGATTATTTGGAAGAATCTTGAATCTTGAAGAATCTTATTTCTTTATTTCGTAAATGGTTTTTTTCGCCAATCGCTCGTCGGTTTTACTATAAAAATTCAGAGTACATATAGTATATATTTTTATTGACTAAAATTCTATAGAAACCATTTGAAAAAAATTACCTTGATAAAAGTATATAAGTATATATATATATATTGTATATATAAAATATTTTTAAAAAGCTAATTTCTAATAGGTAATATGTTATTATACAACCTATTGTCTAAACCGGGATTGCATCATCTTCAATTTTTTAACAAATTATAATATATTAAATTAATTAGTTAATATATATATATATATTTTTTAAGATGTCTAAAGTGTCAGGCAAGTTCAGCTTTCATCTTACCCCAAGGTTTTTGTCTGAAAAAAGGAAGTCTTTTAAGGAGGTCTTGTGATATATGACTACTCGAATTTTATTTGAACAAGTTAGCACTGTTCTACCGTTTGTTATATCAGATTCTGTAATATAACACATATTCTGTCCAATATAAAGAATATAAAGAATTCTGCTTAGAAATATATTCATATAGATCAACATAACTTCTAGTTTTTCATTCTACATATTCACAAATAAATGCCAGCATCTTTTTTAAAATTATATTCACCAATACTACTCATTTCCTGAACTCCTTCTAGACTCCACCATCGATTTAAACCGTATTCTATTAGAAGCTGTCCACAAAACGCGTGAAGCTTTGTTTTTAAAGAAATTTGGGTGGAGATTCGTACTTTAAATAGTTAATAGTCTCACTTTGAAAATTCAGAAATGGATATCTTTGTCTGCTCCGCTTTTGTCCGTAATAATGGTACGTGAATAGATAGCGCTTTGAACGCATTCTCCGTGACCGTTACCATTTAGAATGGTTTAATATAATATCAATGCCTATTGTTAGGGGATAATAGCATATTATCTGGATCATTGCTTTCCCCATATTACTTTGACAAATCTACACAAATTAAGCCTTTTTCTTTATTACTATGATAAACTGAATAAATTAAGTGTATCGATAAACCTTTCAATATTCTTTAGTTCAAGTCTTTAAAGGAAACTCGTTAAAAATAAAGGTTGTTGGAGACGCTGAGCTTATTTCCTAACAACCACAAGACACAAATAGGTGAGATGAGATGAGTTTCAGTTTGTTTCTTATAGCACCTGCAGCTCTCATTTTAAAACTGTGATTAATAATAGTAATATTAATCAAGTAGGCAATAATTAATTTGGGTTGAAATCTATTTAGACCAACAATTCTATTAGAAATTCTGTTGGCTCAAATGAATCATTTGAATTGTCTTAGACATTTGTCTTTGATGTCGGTATATGAGTTCATAAACAATTTATATTTGATATTTTTAAAAACGGAAATAGTTTAACAATTGCTGAATATTTTTGGGCTTTTGAGGGTTTTCAGAGATGGTTAATCAACTTACTTTTTTGTACAGTTATTAGTTGCTACAATATATCTTTGCACCTTTCACTGTCATATATACAGACGAGTGTTACTACATTCGTGCTAGCCAATACAGATGTGTTATTTGTGTGGCTTCAGACCAATTTGAATTTACTGGAAAGATTTTATAGCTGCTTGCGTAGCGGAACTACATATTAACTTCTTCATGGAATTTAATAAAATGTTAGTATCTTACTTAGTATATTAAACTTTGAAAAATAGTTTATATATTTTCTTGATGTTATTACCTGCGTCAGAACACTTATTATAAAAAACACAACAAATTTTTATAGAAATGTAGAAGATTATTTATTACTCGTATGAATATTTTTGGTAAGATCTATTAAATAGATGAAAAACAGGAAGACTGATAAGTAGTATAAATACAATATTAGTATACTGTATAAAATCGGAAATAACATAGCGAGAAATTATATAGAAAAATAGAAATTTTTAATTCAAAATCTATAAGTATATAAAAAGTAAATAATTATACTATAATTAATAAATAATGCAAACTTATTTCCCATAAAATAGAAATGTAAAAGGTTTAGTATGTGATAAAATATCACAATTTACAATTACATTGCTTTTGATTTCAATAACAGTATTTCATATGATGATATGCATAGAGTCATCTATGCCGCGTACAGCGCAGATACTACTAAAATCAAGTTCTTGTGGGGGGCTTAAAAATTCGTTATTTTGACAATTGCTGTAAGCATTCGTCTTATAATAAAGAACTTCAAAGCATTAAATATCACAATCAAGAAATTTGAAGCAATCACTATTTGAATTTAAAGTAAAGTCCCACCAAAATACATGTTAGGATCAGGGATTAGTTCTAATGATAACCCGTTTATAGTGGAAAGATATTTGAAAACGCGTTTAAATACCTGGGACTAGAAATAAGCTCGAAAGATGATATAACCGCAGCAATTAATTATAAAGTTTAAGCTGCAAGTAGAACCTTTTTAAGTATATAAATCTTTTTAAAATTAATTAAATATTAAGAATTACAAGATCCGCGCGGTTTAGGGAACTATGGGCATATCCAATCACATTATATAAAACAGTTTTTGTTATATAAGGTAAAAATATTTAGAAAGCATATGGCTCAGTATTACTGAATGATGGATCCAAATGAATTAAGTACAATCATGGGCTTGATTTTATATAATTGAGGCAGAATATAATAAAGTATATTCAATTAATACTAGATTAATACAAAAATAATGCACTCAAAACTAGTTACGAAAACGTAGTTAAAGTAGCATGAGAGTAGCTAAAAAGGGCGGCACGGGATATTTTTTGGAAACACTGAAGAGTAAATATGGTAGTCTGATAACATAATATAAATATTATATTTCCTTTTACTAAAACAAAAGATCTTTGTTTTAAAATCAATTGTTTCGCAAAACTGTTTACAAAAGCACGTGATC